ACTCCACTGGTTCGTCTTCTGCCTCGCCACCTTCCCTCTTCTATCAGCTTCCATGTGTCCGTGGAGATCCTCCTTCTTCTTCCCTCCTAATACGGTTATGCAGGTTTCTTTCCACATCTTTTTCAAAGAGTTCCAGTGTTCTTCCACGCAGGTTCCTTCATGGGTATTGCTCAATGTCTACCATTTTGTCCTGATGGCTGATGTGAAGATGTCGTTTGTAGTTTCGTCCTTCAGTTTCTGTTCTGGATGTTGAACTTGAACTGTGGTCTATAACCAGCTTCTTTGAAGGCTTTCAGTTTGATTTTGAAGATAGGTTCCTTGCACTAGATGGTGAGTGGTGTGACCCTACATCTGCTCCCTTTCTTCATCTGATCTTGTGTCTGAGTCGATTATTGACTCTCCAGTTGACAGTTTAGAGAGTCCCCATCCATTCAATCTGCAGATTCCTAGCCTTGCACTTCAATGCTATTTCTCCTCATTGCTTTTGCAATCTTGGCAGCCTTGTTAGGTTCAAACACTGTTCGGACATTCCATGTCCCTATTCTTGCTTTTGCTTCCATTGAAAGAGAGAAGACACATCAGCAAATTGGCTTCCCAAAGGCTTTCACCAACTGGAGTCATTTCGTCTCTCCGATTCCAGAGAGGAATAAGTTTGATTTTATGTCTTATATTTTCTTCGTGCTTTGAAGTTTCTGTAGCGATTGGATTAGTTTTACTGGGTAGGGCTGCTAGCCCTATGCCCAACCTTCCCTCTTTATCCGGTCCTAAGTCCGGATTGTAACTAGTGAACTAGTTACCTGGACGTTCAAATTACTGAACCTAACATTTATGGAATTTTGATATCTGCCGAGGTTTATAATCCGTTGTAGAAGTCAAGTAGCACCAAAGTCAACTCTATACACGGTCCCTAAGGAAAGTGTCTGTATCACTCTATCACGCAGCGGAGTTGTACAGTATCATTTTGAGACGACGGTTGACATCAGCCATTAAGAAAACATATTACGCGGTGAATCTTGTCACTGTGCGAAAAACAAAACACATGCTTCACCAAAAACCTAAACACAGCATCAATGATCACGTCCCATTCCAATGTGTTCAATTTACATGTGTGTATACGTCGTCACATATACATAGGGAAGAATAATCAAGTCATGCAGTTGAAGGTGGGAGAACATGTACCTAAATGGCTTCAAAAACAAATGGAGTATGAAACCGTGATAAACGCTGGTGGGAGACTACCCTCTTCATCTTTTAGCTAAACATATCATAGAAACAGGTCACGAAATAATGTTCAAACAGTTTTGAAAGTTGTATATAGAAACAGTCAGGGATGTATACTGAGATTTGTGGAAGCCATAGCCATACAGAAATTTAAACCTCCTATATGTATATAAAAACAGTTTGTTTTTACATTACACCTACCTACCCCTTGGTAAACTTTGTTTTCTTACCAAGATCAGTATCAACTAGGTCACTTCTTGTTTGTCCTTATTATTGTTAATTTTAATCCTCTAATTGTTGTATATGTCCCCCCCATTCCTTAGTTTAATATATATTTATAGGTTCAGGTGATTTAATTTGCTTCTGAAGCCACTTTGGAATATGTAACTATATTTCTGTGCATAAGTTTCCGATACCCATTACTTTGGATCACCTAAAACAGCTGTTACTTTTATGTACAAACAATATTAAATTCACGTTTGAGGGCGAACATTTCCGCCAGGTTGATGGTGTCGCTATGGGAAGTCCTTTAGGTCCCCTCCTAGCCGACATATTTATATCACACATCGAGAACTTAGCCGAGAACTTAATAGACCAAGCCCATCTGTATCGAAGATATGTTGACGATATCCTGATTATTTGTGAAAACTCAAATCAGGCTACTTCAATTCTAAACCAGCTGAACGAAGTACAGAACAGCATATCTTTGACATGTGTAAGAGAGGAAGATGACTGCTTGCCGTTCCTAGATATATTAATTAGTCGAAGGCAGGATGGATCCATAAAACGATCTATCTACAGAAAACCTACATGGACAGGGCAATATCTGAATTACCATAGCTTTTGCCCAGTTCAGTACAAGCGAACGTTAGTAAGGTGCCTATTCAGCAGAATTCAACGAATATGCACCGAGGATACTTTAGAAGATGAAAGAGGAACACTGACCGATATTTTGTTGGAAAATAACTATCCATCAACATTTATCAGGCAGAACAAAATCAGCAGAGCGTCAAAACTAGAACTGCAGTCAATCCCAAAGAAGAATGTCTTCATCAGCCTTCCGTACAAAGGTGACTCTCAGAGTGCAATCCTTAAGCAGAGACTTAACGCTGCTGTTAGAAGGACTTACTATGCAGCCAGGGTTCAAGTAATCGAAACCACGAAGCCCTTATATTCCCCCAAACCCCCACAGCATGTGAACGATAATGTCACATCCCATTGTATCTACCAATTCAAATGTACGTGTGGTGACACATACATAGGGAGGACTAATAGATCCATGCAAGTAAGAGCCTCGGAACATATTCCAAAGTGGCTTCAGAAGCAAATTAATATATATTGACTTGACAAGTGGTGAATGTGTTATCAGATTGTTCGAAATGTATTGAACAAATGCATCATACACTGTTCAGATAAACTTGGTCTTGTAATTATACCATCCAAATTTATGAAAAGAGACTGATCGTTTCAAATGAAGTCTCATTAAGTTGTCAGTTATTTGACTGCTGATGTAACCATGGTACTTGGCATTAGTGGAAAACGCTTTAGGTTGGTACATGTCATATCATCACATCAGGCTAGAAAGCTGTTGAAAAACGTTTTCCTTTGATGCTGTACCATACCAAGAAGGCTAATTGGATAGTGGTAAGACAATTAACAATTACCATTGTAAAGGATGTTACTGCGATATAATGGTGGTTACGGGGTGGAGTCGTACTGAGCTGTACCAGCAGTAAGATGTTTCCCATTGAGGCTAAGTATTCCATTCTAGTGCTACCTTCTCCGTAGGAAGACTAGAGAGATCATCATCGAAAATATCACATTTCCTTTTAGCTTTGAGTTCTCCTAGTGCTGGCAGCATGGAAGGCTAGATGTGAGACTTTCTAAAGGGCTATTTAAGTAGCCTCAAGCAGATGTCCCATGGACTCTGCCATTACACTACTACTACTACTACTACTACTACTACTACTACTACTACTACTACTAATAATAATAATAATAATAATAATAATAATAATAATGATAATAGTCCGATTTCTCTTTCAGGTACGGTAAGAAGAAGTAACGCTCCGTGGGTGTAGGGTAGCTGTGGAGGGTCAACTGACCTCATGACTCTACCAGATGCCTATCAGCTTTCCATATCTTTACGTTCTAATCTCTCATCACTTCTTTCGGTCAATGTTCTTACAATCAGTTTTGTAACAGAAGTAATAAATGTGTCTGTGTACCATCTTTTTGGATATGACAAGGTGTTAACCAAAAGTAGATTAGGTAAGAGAAAGGTTAGTAGATTGGCTTGATCAAAATTTGACACAAATCTATGAAGTCTTGAACTACTGACGTGGATTGTGTACTAAAATGGTAATTCTTACGACAACAGAAATCAACAGTTGGAGATTCCTGGTGATATAATTCAACAATGATAAGATATGTATGCTTAGAAAGAGATTAATGACATCCTGCAATTCTTATAATATTCTTTTCACTCAATTAGGATGACTTAGTTAGAAAATAAGACGAGTGAGCCTGTCGCTCATTGGTCTAGATACCTGGTTTCGAACTGATGAGCCAAGTGTTCGGACCCAATTCCACCTAAGGAGATTTGGACAGCTAGGTCAAATCATTAACCTTCACATGGTAGACTTATAAGATAAGATTGCTGAATAGACTTGAATTCAATTAGATTTTGTATGTCTAATTACATAATCTAACTGTTGAGATCTTGAAGATGATGCCCAGGGTTTATAGCCGTTACATATATCAGTCAATCAACCGTAGCTGTGGTGGACTGGATCATGCAACAAACTGTGAGTAGCTGTGAGAAGAAAGGCATACTCTGGCTAGACCGATGAAAAGACCCCACAAGAAGATTTGCGTTTCGCCGCCGATGATGATTTATGTCTAATGTGTTGTCGTACAAAGTCGAAGATCTACAGGTGAAAACCAACAAATTGATAGAAGGGGCAGAGCACCGAAGGAAAACGGAACTTCCTTTGTGTGAATGTAGAGAAGACAGAAGTGATGAAGATGCCCAACCGACAACAAGCACCAATCACTATCAACGAGAGAAATGTAAATGAAGTTGTCTCTTTCACCTACCTATCTACCTAGACAGCGTCCTCTCAACTACTGGCTGCACACGCACAGATGAGAATGTCAAAGCCAGGATCTGAAAGACATCAAGACAGGGATTCCTGCATTAATCTGAAATAATCAGTGTAGGGGTCTACTGTACTGCACTCCACCTAGCATAAAGTGTGAACGAGATCTGGATTTTCTATACTAAGTCAGTCAAGTGAGTGTTTCTGTGATGGTTGAGAGACTTGACCGCGTTACAGAAACCACTTCAAACAAAATGCAGATACACATCATATAATCACCTGTCGTCTACGCTTACTCGATAATGACACTGAAGATGAGATGTCCAGAATGATGAGAATAAGGAAGGAAGAAGTTCGGCTGACAATGAACCAACCAATAACCTATCATCCAAGAATAAAGTGTAGATGGATTGGGCATACACTGAGAAAGATCATTTGAGGACATTATGTACCAGACCAGGCCGTCGAGTGGAAACCCAGTAGGAAAGGACCAGTTGGTCGTCGGAAGGTGATGTGGACGAGATCATATGAGAAAGAGATGAAAGCTTGTCGACAGTCATGAAGCCAGGTTGATAAGACCTTAGAGAAGAGAGTAAAATGGTGACACGCTAGTAAATCCCTATATTTCAATGATTTTCTAATCATCTCTTGTTATTTCTTCTTATCTTCTTTCAATAGACTGATACTTATCAGTCAATTTTACACTTATCTGCTGGACAAGGATTAGAATCTTGTCCGATTAATTCAGAAAGACCATCTTATAGTGAACATATATCATTGGAAGAATTACGTTATCTACTACATGAACGAAATGAATTGAAGTGTAGATTAATTGAATTAGAAGAAGAATTCAACGCTTTAGAATCGGAGAAGTAAGTTGCTTATTATTTATTGCCTGTCTTATCATTTAAGTTACTATTGGGATCAATTATTGTTAAAATGTCTATCGAGAGGCATAACTTTAATATGATTATAGGCAGTAAATTCTGTTCATAACATCATTCAGTAGATGAAATTGTATCATTGTATTCCATATAAAATAAACAATCTAATATCTATAGAATTATGCTCTGTCAAAGTGTCCAACTTTTTGTTTTACATTAATGAAAACCTTCACACTTGTATCATTACTTAGACTTCAGATCATCTCATTTAGAGTTGGCTTGGTAACAGGACTAAGAAACTTACTAACAAAACAGAAGATCTATGATAGAACACTTTACTCATTAATAATTACCCTCCTAAATTAGTTGATAAATTCCCTAGTAATCGTAAGAAAAATATCTGTTAATAGTTGTAACATTATTTTTCCCTTGGGTTCCTAGTGGAATATAGGGATTCAGTAGCACGCCTCCATTGCACTCTGTTCTCTGCAATCTTTCCAACTTGGCTCCAAGACTGCCTACAAGCTTTTGTTTCTTTCTCACATGATCTTCTGCATGTCATCCTCACTTAGGACGTTCAATTTATCGTTTCCCCTTTGGGTTCCACTTGAGGGCTTGGCACATGATGTCCATGATCGGCCTCCTCAGTGTATGTCCAATCCATTTACATTTTATTCTTGAGTGATAGGTTGTTGGTTGGTTCGTTGCCAGCCAGATTCCCTTGTTGCTTATTCTTCCTTGCTATAGGTGTTAGAAATAATAATAACAATAGTGAAAGTAGTGTGAAGAGAGAATTGAAAACCTCTACAGTATAACTGTACAATGAAGGCACCTCTAAGAAACATTATGTAGGATTGTAAATAAGGCTAGCTGGGATTGCAGTGGCATTTAAATCTAGAAAATCACTTCGAAATAAGCTTTCCAAGTTAAAAGTTCCTATTGAGCCAAGTAGACTGAATAATTTAGTTTATCAAAGCGCCTTTCAACGATTGCAAGGTCGAAGTAGTCGACTAAGATCACCTAGGCTATTCAAGAACAAAGACATGGATAAATCAAAACTGATAGATCCCAGTAAGATAAGGAATCTAGAGGGAAGCTCTGCCTTAGCTATGCATGGAGTCACATGCAATTACATAATAGGATGGAGCAGAGTATCAATCCTGAAACCGAACTTAGTTAGATGGGGTCAGGGAGAGAGATTGATTACCGAAACTTCGTTTATCGAATCAACATCAAGGTTATGCAACAGGAATGATTCAACACCTGTTCCAGAAATATGGAAAATTCTACTACTCATATCACAAATGATACGGGGAGATTAGAATCAAGATATCTCAAAGTTGTGTAATTATCTTGATATAACTATTGACATCAAATTGTGTTTGAAGCCTAGTCCAGTAAATAATTTTGTCTCAACTAGGTGACATATCTAACTTATCTGTTTATTATTATTTGTCCCTTGGGTTCTTAGTGGAACACAGGGATTCAGTAGCACGTTGGCATTTTGCTTTCTTTAAAATCTTTTCAACCTGGCTCCACGACTGCCGACAACCTTTCATTTCATCCTCAAATGATCTTCTCTATGTCACCCTCAGCTGGGATGCCCAACTCGTCGTTTCCCATCTGGATTCCACTCGAGGGCCTAGCCTGACGCATGATGTCCCAAACTAGTCTTCTCAGTGTATAAACAATCCAATCCATTTCCACTTTCTTCTTCTGCTCATTTGTTGGGCGATAGGTTGTTGGTTGGTTGGTACGTTGCCAGCCAAACTTCCTCCTTGCTTATTCTCATCATTTTGGCCATCTAATCTTTAGTGTCAGTATCGAGTGAGCGTAGACGGCAGCTGTTGATGTGATGAATGTCTACAGTTTATTGAAAATACTATTCGTAACGCGCCGCCAAGTCTCTCAACCATCACATAGAAGCACTGACTTACTTGACTGACATTATTGTTGAAAATGATATATCTAATTAGTCAACTAAAATGAAATCATATTCTGCTATATCGCTGAAGGTTTACTCTTATATTGATGAAAGTCACGTTTCTTTATTTTGATAAACAAAATAATATCGTTAGCCCTTTGTTAATAAGTAGGCCAATTTCATTTACGCATAGGTTTTGAAGTCTAATGAAGTTAGATGGTTGGAGGCAATCAGTAGGAATCTCTACTACATCTAGGTATCATGCTTGTTCGTACTTTTCAATAAAGCCTAACTGCAACCTTAAGAGAACTGATGTTTCGTCTGGGATTCAAGTAGACGTTGCCAAGTGTTACTATCGGTGTTACCACCAAGCTATTTAGGCTGCGTTGATCTCCTGTACTACTGGATGAGGTAGATTAGTTTGTCACTAGAAAGGAATCAATTTCATGTTTCCTAGTTTTGAGTACTGACTGTATTCCATTGATTATTCTGTAGTATGGATGTCTTGCTGATGAGTACCAACAAACACGAAATATAAATTCGAGAGTTTCTTGCCAATTGTCTTTAGTCAAAGTACACTGCAATATTGAGCCTCTTATCTAGAAGAACACATCATAGAATAATGAATAGCATTTGATCAGCTTTTGAGACTAAAGAATAGGAATTTAGTTCCTATCCAATGATCAATCAGTATAAAAAAATTGGGTAGATCCGACAAAGTTATTTACTACTAAGTTGTACATTCGTGAATATATTTTACAGTGGGACATAAGGCGCTGGTTTTGACTTCTGAATAGCTAGGGCTTCAGATCTAAACAATTGCCTTAATCTTAATCCTTTCGAGTGGTGTTATCGAACCCTATAGAGGATTTTGAATGAACTCTGGAAAAGAGCTGAGTGACCTGAGTTTACAAGGTGTTCTGTTATTGAACTGAATATGCATTTCTGTTGCCTTGGTTGTATTGTGTTCTCTGAGGAGCTGAGTTGTTTAATCGTGAAGCTTTCATCGTCTTTCTCCTAGACAGCTACATCATCAGCACTAACTTCAGTATGAAGTGAGCTGTCAATATCTCTCCATGAGTGTTTTAGTAGCTTGCCTTGACGAAGCGGTCTATGATTGGTTGTTTCCTTTGATTGCTGTGTGTGTCATTGATAGTATACATTTTCCTGTTGGCTGTTCTTCTGCTTCACCTCTGACCTTTCTGTCGTTCATCATCTTTCTTATTGGTTGATAGATTGAATCTATGTCTATACATCTGTTGATTGCTGACTGACCTGAATGACAAGCTTCTAGGAATTCCCTGATAGTTTTTGTGTTTCCAAGTGCAATTGGTGTGGCTCATAAACCAACAAATTCCCTGCAAACACTATTATGCAGACTAAAGGATGCGACAACCAAAGAAGACAAACCGAATATCATTTACAAAATCAACTGCAATAACTGACTGTAGTCAACACTACACTGGACAAAGTGGTCACCCTCTTCACCTTCGTCTACATGAACACCGATTGGTTATTAAACGTCACACATGATATTTCATCACTCATTTCATTGCACGTGGATAACAACTAGCGACATGAATTCAATTTCGACAATGTAGGAATGTTGGACGGAGAGAGAAAACACAAAAACTATCAGGGAATTCCTAGAAGCTTGTCATTCAGGTCAGTCAGCAATCAACAGATGTATAGACATAGATTCAATCTATCAACCAATAAGAAAAATGATGAACAACAGAAAGGTCAGAGGTGAAGCAGAAGAACAGCCAACAGGGAAGTCTATACAGTCAATGACACACACAGCAATCAGAGGAAACAACCAATCATAGACCACTTCGTCAAGGCAAGCTACTAAAACACTCATGGAGAGATATTGACAGCTCACTTCATACTGAAGTTAGTGCTGATGATGTAGCTGTTTAGGAGAAAGACGATGAAAGCTCCACGATTAAACAACTCAGCTCCTCAGAGAACACAATACAACCAAGACCATCCACCTGAGCTACAAATATTCTCCACTATTTCTGTTGCCTCTTTGCCAGCCAGCGAGCCAGGCTGGATAGTATACACGGGCATGTTTTTCAAACGGATCCATAGTACGGCTAATTCACTGAGCTTCACAAAAGCAAGTAAACTAGTATACAGCCCAATTCATTGGCTTGTCTATCACAAATTGACCATAATTTTTCTTAAAAGAGAAAATAATCTGAAGGTTGGCGGTGAATTATGATGTATTTAAGGATTTTGACAATTGTTTCCTGAGAATGGCTGTCGCAATATCACTTTTGAATTATAGATTCAAGAAATAAATCTTTTTCAGCATCAAATTTGTTTATTCAGTTGGGTTCTTTAACATTATGTTCTTATCTATGAATCTGAATGCGAACCATTTTCCGCTAGAGTTCATCTAAGTATTTACCGCTGTCCGTCAACAGTGTCCTCGGTACATATTTTTCTGATCGTCTAGGAAAGTGAATGGATAAGATTTTTCTTTCTGCATAGACAGACAGAACTTTGAAAATTAACAAACTGTCTATTCTACATAAGCTTTCTGTAGATCGATCTATGAAGTAAATTATCATCTTTTCCTTAGAGATGAACATCAATAAAATGGAAGGTTGAGTTCAATTCTGATTCTAGATTGAATTTAGTTCATATCACAGTATACTTCAAGTATTCTTTTATAATTAGACAATGTTGGAATACACCTATTTTGTCATAAGAAAAGACTAAAAAAGGAAGTTGCAACGACAAAACATTCTTCTTACTATCTATTGATATGTTCGTAATTCTCCGTTGTTTTATTGGATCGAATTATTCAACCTCTGTTGACATATGAGCTTCAATGAGAATGTCTGAGCATTGCCTGATTGTTAAGTATAGTAATTTACTTGGTTGCCACTAACAGAAGAACCCAATAGGGGCATTTCGTCCTATTTAGGACTAATCGGCTAGATGTACCTTCACCCCCTATTGAATGATGTTGTTGTCACCGGGATCTAGACCTCGTAAATAGAGGTAGTAAAATAACGTACAATTACAAGTGTATCAATAAATAGCAATAACTAATACTTGTTGTACAGGAGATGGCTGTCGTGGCTCAGTGGTCTGGTAGCATAACGCTGTGATGTTTGAAGCAGTGGGTCCCGAGTTCGAATCCGGGACGGCCGAATAACACTCACCGGGAGGCAGTTACGTTCAGCTGACGAGTCCCAAGTAGGAAGAAATGCTCATCCTGGATTCCACTACTAGCCAATATCTATCATTGCCATATAATTAAAACGCAAGTACTATTTAGGCATCCGCGCAGGAGCCGATATGCTAACAGAGACTAATGAATTCGGTCCAATAAAACAACGGTATAGTTCAAGCAATAATAACAAGATTTATAATAATTTATGATATCTTAAGCCTTTCATTAATAACAGAGAAAGTAGTAATGAAGTTGTTGTTAATTCTTTGGAACACTTTCGATATATTTTTCAATAGCCAAAAGGATCCAGATGTAGAAGGACCTATGTGGCCTGAACCTATTGAAAAGTTACGTCCAGATTGGCATAAACGTTCAAATATTAAAACTGTGTAAGTCTTTTGTTTATTTTTCGTATTGACTTTTGTTAGTTAACCTTCAGTGTTATTTATTTTCATTTTCTGAATTTCTGTGTTAAACATACAATTGACCAGTCTTTGTATTGATTTACTTTCATAATTGTAGTCTGTTTTCACTTTTCTGACAATTCGAACTCATATTATTGTCAAGCTTCAATGAGGAGCTATCCAGATTTCATTTAACGCTTGACAATTGTGAATTACTATGGTTTTTGAGGGAGTTGTGGAGATTTGGAATTATTTCAAGTTGTTATTCATCGTAGACTGACATCAGTTGGAGGAACAATGGAAACCTGGGAGCACTGGACATCTGTTTCGTCCTAATATGGGACTGCTCAGCAGTACGCACCCACAACCCCACCAGCAGGGATCGAACCCGCGACCTTCAGGTTCCGTGGCCAGCGCCTTACCATTGAGCCACTGGGTCAGAATTCAGTCGTCCATATTTACAACTTCTGTTAGCTCACGATGTATAGCGCAACAGCCACCCAATGACATCGCTGAGTAACTGTCTTCAAGACTACCAGGCTTTGACTCCGCCAGTCACAGGACCTGAAGGTCTCGGGTTCGATCCCTGCTGGTGGGGTCGTGGGTGCGTACTGCTGAGGAGTCCCATACTAGGACAAAACAGCTGTCCAGTACTCCCAGGTTTCCATTGTTCCTCCAACTAATGTCAGTCTACGATGAATAACAACTTGAAATTACTATGGTGTTATCTTTTCTAAGTTGGATAATTTAATCGTAAAGCTTTTTGTCATTTTGCATAGATTTCAGAAAGAAGTGAGCTATAGAATTTTCACTACAAATGGATGAGTAGCTTGTTTTGATGATCTTTGGTATGATTGGTTGTTTCTGATGAAATCTTTTCAATGTCTTCATACTCATTTCAACTGAATGTCCTATCAGTCGATAAATTCGTTCAGTGTCAATATGTCTGTTGATCACTGACTAATCTGAATATCATGCTTCTAAAATTTCTCCACTGCATTCCTTATACTTCCTCTATCCAAGACTACAACATTTTCTCAGCTGAATACATGCTCAAACTTGATATGAACCAAGATATATCATGACGTATCACAGCTAGTTGATGATCATGTAGACAAATGCGAAGAGTTGTGAAGTGGTCACTAGGTTAGTTGGTTAGAAGCAATCGCTAGGAAGTTTTGGATTCGCCAGAAAAACGCATCTGGAATCTCATTGGAAGTGATGTCTCATCTGAGGTTGAAGTCGACATCATCAAGTGTTGCAGTTTGAGATTTTACTATGAAGCTGTTCAGATCTCGATTAATCTCCTGTCGGACTAGATTACATATATATTTGTGTTATTATTTGACGATCTGAGATAGCCGTAGTTTGGCAGACTAGTATTTACACTGGACCACGGCCGGATTTGAACCTGCGACCACCGGGTTACCTGCTCGGTGCTCTGCCAACTGACCTACGAGGTCTGACTGCTGACCAGAATTTTATTTCACTTCAATCACCAAGGGTTTTACCCGACAGAGCACCGGACTGGTAACCCGGTAGTCGCTGGTTCGAATCCGGCCTCGGTTCAGATTTCTATCTCACCTTCAATCATCACCCAGTATATATATTTTAGTCATTGAAGGTAACAAACATTTTGGACTATAATCTCATCAGAATACTTGATGAAGATAGATACTTTTAGCTACGAATGTGAATACTCTGTGTCAACAGTCAGTCAACATGATATTTCATTACTAAGCAAGGCAATACTTAGCGTCATTACATGTTCACTAAAAAAAGGAGAATACACTTCAGCCTTACTCTAATTGAGTTTGACTTGTCAACAACTTGTCAGTTATAAATAACCGCCCAAATTGAACTTTACTTGGCATGATAGTAAGACTTTTATTATTTTTTAGATCGACTACTAAGTATATTGATGTTGTGTAGTGACTAGTAGTGATACCTAAGATGTACGTTTCGTCCTACTTGGGGCTCATCAGCTAGCTGTACCTATCTCCCAGTGAATGATGTTTTCCTCTAGACTATGAAATATGCCCATTAAGTCATAGAGAAGAGATAATTCAGCGAAGAAAAAATTTTTTTCGATGATATCATTTTCTAAAGCTGTACAATCGTACTCATATATATATTTTGAGGGAGTTGTGGAGATTTAGAATTATTTCAAGTTGTTATTCATCGTAGACTGACACAAGTTGGAGGAACACTGAAAACCTGGGAGCGCTGAACAGCTGTTTCGTCCTAGTATGGGACTTCTCAGCAGTGCGCACCCAAAACCCCATCAGAAATCGGACCTGCGACCTTCAGGTCCTGCGGCCAGCGCGTTACCATTGAGCCACTGGGTCAGAATCCAGTCGTCCATATTTACAACTTCTGTTAGCTTACGATGTATAGCGCAACCGCCACCCAATGACATCGCTGAGTAACTGTCCTCAAGACTACCAGGCTTTGACTCCACCGGTCACGACTTCTCATCTGAACTTCTGAAATACTTCTCGAAGCTAGTCACCAGTGAGCACCAGTTCAATCAAATTTTGAGGGAGTTGTGGAGATTTGGAATTATTTCAAGTTGTTATTCATCGTAGACTGACATCAGTTGGAGGAACAATGGAAACCTGGGAGCACTGGACAGCTGTTTCGTCCTAATATGGGACTCCTCAACAGTGCGCACCCACAACCCCACCTCATATATATATATATATATATATATATATATATATATATATCATAAACATATAACAGTAGTCTATTATAAGAAATAGGGTATAATTACATCATTAACCTAGTGCTAAGAGAAACCGGAATTATGAGTGGAAAGTAGTTGCGTAATAATCTAAGACAGTAGAAATATCGAGAAAGGCAAGGTGAAGAAGAAGACAAGGTGAAAATTGTTGGTAGATAAGGGACGCAAATATTGAGTGTCCACTTGATAGATAGATAGACAGATAGATAGATGTAAAGAAGGTGAAGAATGAGACAAGGGTCATAATAAAGGTAATAATAATAAACTGATTAATGAAATTGAAAGAAAAATGAAAGTGTTAAGACCATGATAAGATGAGAGATTGAACATACTTCTTTTGCACGCAAAGATCAGGCTTGAATTGATAAATTGCTAGTGCTTCCGCTGTATTTTCCTCACTGAGACTCATACCCAGGGCAGATTACCTTTAAGCATCAAAGCATTATTCACTTAGCTATTGATTATGTAATGGCTATGGTATAGTTATTGCTTATAATTTCTTATCGTTGATTGGACCGAATCGATTGAGATATTACGCCCTAGTTTAAGAAATTTGATTGGTAAGAATATTTATGTTTTAAGTTTAAACAATTATGCATCTTGTAGGTGTTATTATAGATATATCCAACTGAGGAGTCCTAAATAGGACGAAATGCATATCTATCATTACTATAGATTAAACATCTTGTTAACAACAGTATTTTGTTTGTATGCTTCATTTTATCATTTAGCTTTCAAAATCTTCTACATCGTTTAACTGAGCGTACTACAGAATTAATATCATGAAGTTGATTGGATTATAGAAAGCATAATATTTTTGTTGTCTTATATCTTAAGTCTACCTTGATAGATAAGCATCTCTCTGATAAATTCTAGTCGTTTATACACTATGGCTTAACTTGATTGGTTTCCATTCCTTGTGTTGTATAATTTTATTGTTTAAAATTTCTTTTTTTTTATGTTGTATGAATCTTGTTTATCTACGATTCGGTCTCTTGTTATTATCATCATCATCATTGCCGTTGTCATCATTCAGGTGTCTTTTATATCATTCCCCTGATGATTATTATTCTAGGCCAAGTGTGATGTTGACTTACTCGACTACTTTTAACACTGTATTGTCTTTTTAATTGAATACCAAAGAACTTTAGCATCATTTTCAACTGAAGGAAGGCTTATATACATTATTTAGTCTTCTGCTATGGAACGTCTTTAACCAGGAGGTGATTTAACAGCATCTTTACAAGATATAATAAGGGTAAGAATGCTGAATAATACGTAATCAATCCCTTTAAAATGATCGTAGGGAGGGGAGATTAGTCAGTTTAAGCATTTACTGTATAACACGAACATTTTTGGGGATTTTGGTCGGTGACGACTGGAAGTATGAAAAATAAATCTCAGATATTTGACTAAATGTAGGTAGAATTGACATTTTTCGTCATGACGACGGAATCGCTATCCTCTATTCGTTTGAGCACTTGATCCAGTTAGTTTTGTAACTGTTCTAAGGAGACCACAACAATGTTAATATCATTCAGGTAAGCAGCTACACCGGGGTGTACCCGATAATATGGTATCTTTTATAATCCATGATGTGTGTTAATCGTTAGTTGTTCTTGGTATTTTGATACCACCTCGATTTGTAGATATGCATCAGCCAGGTCAATTTGCAGCAAAGCATGTACCACCATTGAGAATGGTAAAAATACCATCGGGTGCTGGGAGTAGGTAGTGGTGGTTTTCAAATGTAGGATTAAGTCCCGTAGGTAAATCTGCACACATGCAAACAAAGCTAATTGGATTTCTGATAACTATAACAGAAGCCTCCTATGGAGAGTAAGAAACTGGTGTGAGAACACTTTGTTTTTCCAGACAGGAGATGTCTGAGCCGATTTGTGATAATGATGCGAAGGGAACGGGTCTCTTGGGCTGGAAAACAAGTTTGGGATCACCTTGAAGGTAGAGGAAAGCTTGGAATACTGTGCAGCTACCGAGATAGAGTTTGAATACATTTGGGAAATGGCTTATGTCAGCAGTTGTAAGCGGACGCTTGATCTGATTAAAAACCGCACGTAGAGGCATATCCGAAAGAGAAAGATTTCCAAACCAATCGAAACCCAGGAAGTTTAAATCAACGTCAGATAGGTAAAAAATTCCATTTATCGAAGTATTGTGGGAAAATACAGTACATGATGACTAACCTGTTAGTGGTAATCGGCCACCTCATGCACTGATAACAGTTTGTACAGTCTTCTGGACAGGGGGTCAGCGAGAGGCATGGAAAATGTTACTACCAATGAAAGCAAAGAATATCAGGTGACAGGGCAATAAGAGTCAGAGGTCGAAAGCGGTTTGATTACATTGATATGATTATGAGCAATGATAATTTGTGCTCAAAACGTCATTAAGAGAATAATACTGTATCCCACTGTATGTCTTATAAATCAAATGAACAAATCTACTACATTGCCTAAGTTCTACACTTATTTTAAAGTATCTCAGGCTTTAAGTTCGAGTCTGATATTTGTAGATTCATCTTAGTAATATTATTTGTGGTTTACAAATGTCTGATGGTCAAGAATACTACGAGACTGTTTTAAAAGTGTTAGCAGGGGGGGGGAGAGAAAGGGGATAAGAGTTTCTATTGCCAATAAGCAGGCCACACTTGTCAAGAAGATGAATCTGGTACCTCTAAGGGATTGATAACATATTACAAGTCCAGACCTATTTAGTATCATTGAGGTTGTTAGCAGCGTAATCATTGAGCTATCTAGTGGGTGGTCGACCTTCGTCAGGACTGAACGGGGCGCATAAACTAGTTACTGAGTGGCAGTCAGTTGTATGTTGAAGCGTAAATGCTGATCGAATTCCTAATGGTTAGCTCATGTTATTGGACATCAACTAGAATGCATCATTCTGTCCAATCCTTATTGCTAACTGAATTTCACCAATTGACTTTTTGATGTAATCAGTAAGCAAATTATCGATTTTATAATCATGTCACACTCTATCATTCACTAAATCAATGGATGGCATGCGTTGAGATGGATTTCCTGGACTTCTTGTGGGAAAATATAACCTCCTTTTGGCTCACTAAAGTTGAGTTTTAAGGAGAAATACTCTCTAATGGTGTGGCAGGGGGTTGTGATCTATCATAAATTGACAAAAAAGGATAATATAGACCATTCGATTCCAACCCAATGTCTGATGCTAACTCTGATGGTCCTGGATCCGATAACTAGCAAAGTCGTTGGTACACCCTTCTAAAGGGCTTCATAGTGGTAAGAAACAGCTGTCTAATGTTCCCAGGTTTTCAAGGGTTTCTTAACTGACGTTAGTCCGTGACAAATACTACTTTGTAAAAAGCAAGGGGCCTGGTATTACACTGTAATGACTCGAATTATCACACCTCGCTTCATATTAAAACATCAAGATGCACTGGAACAAAATGAAAAGTGCAGATAAAGACGGAAAATATCATGGAAAGTTTTAGATAGTTATAAAGGGAAATGAAGCTGGTGTGCGTGTGTGTGTGTGTGTGTGTGGGGGTTGCAGCAAGTAATTGAATATTATATGAAGATTGGGTTGAAGTTAAGATATGAGTGCCTCCACACTAATGCTGTCGGTTCTGAATCGTCTTATTTGGAATCTCCAGCTGTCGGTTTAAGTTGTCATATGGATGCCATCTGAGAGGCATAAATGTCCGTACATGACTCAAACCAGTAAACAGAGCCCCTCTGGACAGGGGCTATGTTTATTCTGAGCACCCCTGACCTATTTTAAGCATCAAGGTAGGTAATGACTAGCTGAGTTAAAAACATATCCCAGTCACGTCTACTGATAAAGGTTCTCTATGTTATCAACTGATTTAACTATTTCTCTAGAAACCATGCCTAAACTATGCGTTACAAACGCTATGGTCTTAGTCATGCCCATGTTTCAGAGTCATTGGATTATCAAAGTTAAGCCATTTGGCTGCACACATTAAATCTTAGTAGATGCTCATATAAGCCGAATGTACTGCAAGTGGTGTCAGTTGAATAAAGTTAATTAAGTCGTTTGTATCAATGTCGATATTTATTTAGCCATCGGTCCAACATGGCTGATCCATGTTGGAAGGTGAAGTAGTGGTCAGTGCACTCATTAATGTCAGTTACTGTGATAACGCTGTCAGATGTAAACAATGAACTCATGATGCTCTCTTCACCATTCAGAATGTATAGGTTTTTTTGTCAAGATGTTTTACAGTGGGAAGTGTTGATTTTATGAGACCGTTTAAACTGTCGTTTTTTAAGTACTATTTTATACTACTATAAACGTTTGAAGTAGCTTAAATACATCGCTGAAAAGATACGGACAGGGCTACAAAAGATTTGGAAGGTCTCCTTGAGATAAAAAGATTAGAACATTTAATTTCATATAAGACAGCCTTTCTTGAAATTAGTTTTTGACATACTCCACAGATACACGAACAAACTCGAAGATTTACAGGTGAAAACCAGCAAGTTGACACAAGAGGTAGGACACGGAAGGATGTTGGGACTTCCTTCATGTGAATGTAGATAAGACAGAGGTGATGAAGATGCCCAACCAAAAATAGCATCAACAACAAGTAGCAGTCACTTTCAACCAGGGAAGTGTGAAGCAGGAAGTAGTCTCTTCCACCTAATCAGCTAGGCAGAGTCGTTTCAACTACTGGCGGCACAGGCAGAGATGGGGTTGTCAAGCGAGGATCGGAAAGACGTCATCACAGGGCTTCCTGCATTAATCTGAAATAATCAGTGTGGGGGTTTACTGTACTACATTGCACTCAACATAAAATGTGAACGAGATGTGGATTTTCAACACTGATGGATGTGAGTCATGTAAGTCAGTGCTTCTGTGTGATGGCTGAGAGACTTGGCACGTTGCGATGAGCATTTCCAACAAACTGCAGACACACATCATAGAAACAGCTACCGTCTACGCTCACTCGATAATGACACTGAAGATGGGATGGTCAGAATAATGAGAATAAGCAACTTCTATTCGGAAGAAAGTGGAGATGGATTTGATTGGACTGGACATACACTGAGAAGATCAGTTGGGGACGTCACGCTAGGTCATCGTGTGGGAACCAAAAGGGAAACGACGAGTTGGGCTTCCGAGCCAATGGTGACATGGAGGAGATCATGTGAGGAAGAAATGAAAGCTTTTGATCATTCGTGGGGCATGTTTTGTGATGCCTACTTCGTGACAGATAATGACAAATGTGTTGAATACCAGTTGGGATAATTCAACAATTTTAGTCCTTCCATGATGAAAACGTTTTGTTGTTGCTATACCAGCAACAGGTCATTACAAATATCAGTCAAAAACAGCTGATATCAATTGAACATGTGGTATTTGTCGTACCCAAGTGATCTAGTCAATAATGGTTTGGCGTTTGAATCAATGCGTACTAGGTTCGAATTCTGGTGGGAAAATTATCAACCACTAGGGTACGAGTGAATCCAACCACTATATAGATCACAATGTTGATAAAATTTGAGAAACTGAGCATTCAGAAGGATCTGAATGATAAATTAGAAAAAGAGTAGACTGAAGAGATTGAAAAGACAATATACGATTACGCAAAAAGTGTATGCTGCTCTAAAAATCATGGGTAGTGTCAGTCACTTTGGTCAGACTACTTAACTTGCTGAAGACAGACAAAAGAGTAGTATCATTTAAACAAATTCCTGATATACATAATACTTCTTACCAAGCTCTAGGCAAATAGTTGGTCAACATTGTAAAACCATTAAAATATCGGGCTAGCAAAATATAGTATGAAATACGTATTTAAAGTTATCAACAGAATTAAAGGTGATAATATTCTCAATAAAAAAATGGTGTCACTTTATGCAGCATCTCTATTCACCACCAATGTGTATTATATTTACTAATATTATTGTTTGTACCTAAGGTTCTTAGTGGAACATAGGGATTCAGTAGCACGACACCGTTGCATACTCCTCTCTGCAATCCTCTTATTCAAACTGGCTCCACCACCGTCCCGAAGCTTTCAGTTGTTCATCACAACATCTCCTCCATATCACCTTAGGTTCCAATCCCCAAATCGTGCTACCCCATTCGGCTTTCACTCCACAACTTAGCATGGCACCTAACGTCCCCAAACCATCTTCTCACTGAATCTACAATC